GTGTTTCGTCTTCGTCGGCGAAGCAGTAGGGTTTCTTCGATTTTTGCTTTCTTACTTTTGGGTATTACTGTGCAATGAGGAAAGGAGCCAAGAGAAAGGGTGGTCGCAAAGCTGCTGTTGCGGCGAGTCAAGACGATGAGGTGATTGCTGAGTCTCTGGAGGCGTCGACGCAGGAGGAGACTCAACCGCCTCAGGAAGAAGTCGTCGATGAGAACGGTGGAGAAGCGGCGAAGGAAAATCTGGAGGACGGAGAAAAAGACGAACCGGCGAAACCTGATTCCTTAACGCAGGACGACGATGAGGTCAAAGACGATGAGGTCATAGACGATTCTCCTTCTCAGAAGCAGGAAGAAGAAAAGGCCGAGGAAGTGATTGAGGATAAGAAGAAACCTGCTCGTCGTGGTGGTAAGCGAAAGAGGGGTAAGAAGAAGGAAACTGAGAAGAACGATGAGAAGAAACCTGCTCCGAGAGCTAAGAAAGCCCGAGTGACCAAACCAAAGGAAGAGCCTGAGTATTTCGAGGACGAACGTAATCTGGTATGATTTGCTAACCTTAGTCTAGGATACAAAATATCTGCATAAGATTCATAACTTGGATTATATGCAATTTGGGGCTTGTGCTGTGATTTTAACGCAAGTATGATTGTGAAGACAACAGTGAGATAACGTTTGTGGAGCTTTATGTGTCCACTTTAATCGGAATTGGTTCATTTGTTTGGTGGGATTCTCTTACAACTTACCTATACTGTGTTGATGTTGAAGAGTTCTTGGTTGCAAGAAAGATATAACTGGTTTCAGAATGGTATGGTGGGTATATCTCTATGAGAACAACTCTATGCCATTTTACTTTGTGTTCCATATATGGTATGTCATGGCGAGCTTGAGTTAGGGGAGTGAAAATTTCGAAAGAAAATTGTGTGATGTATCTCACTTTCAAAATATTTTGAACACTTCAGTAATTTTAACTTCTAGACGAAGAGTTTGTATTATTTTCTTATTGCTGTGCCGTGTGGGTTGCTAATTTATATGTGTGCTTGGTTTGTGTTTTCAGGAGGGTTTGTGGAAGGCTGCATTTCCTGTGGGAACTGAGGTATATTGTTTTGAGGATTTCGACTTTAATGTCATAGTTACTGTCTCCATTGAAAATCCAATATATTCCTTGCTTATGGTTGTTAAACTGTGATGGCAGTGGGACCAGTTAGATTCACTGTATGAATTCAAGTGGGATTTCAGAAATCTGGAAGTAAGTTGTTTGGATTACATTATCCATTTTTGTTGTCTATTGTTGAGTCAACAGGTTTTTTGGGGTGGACGACGAGATTCTTATATTTTTGTTTCTTCATCTGTCTGTCAGGAAGCATTGGAGGAAGGAGGAAAGCTTTACGGGAAGAAAGTCTTTCTTTTTGGCTCTGCAGAACGTAAGTTGTTTTCTCCTTTTTTTTTCTTGCTTTGATTATCATAAATGAAGCTTTATGTACTGCTTCTTTTAACTTGCTTAAATCATCTTTGTCACTTTTGGTCCTTTCTAATTTGCTTAGAAATCTATCAGATTTTGTCTCTTCTTTTTCTTTTAAAATTTGCTTACAGCTCCTGTTTAATTTTCTTTCTTCATCCTAACAGCTCAGTTAGTCCCCATCAAAGACATAAACAAGATTGTCCATGTCCCAGCAGTGGTTGCTGTAAGTTTTTGTTAAATCTGTATCAATGTTTGCTTCCTATTGTTGATCTCTGCATTGAAAGATCATATATCATTTCCCTTGGTCAAATTTATTTATTCTTTATTTGCAGGTTGAATCACCCTTTCCTCCTTCGGATAAGATAGGAATCACATCGGTTCAGAAAGAAGTGGAGGAAATCATTCCAATGAAGAAGATGAAAATGGAATGGGTTCCGTACATTCCGTTGGAAAAAAGGTACTTAGGATACGAGTTCCACATGCATCTGTTACACATTTGGTGAGATAGCCTGAATGAATGAGAAGAGAAACGTAGATTATGTCTGGGTCTGTTTCTGCTTTTTGATGTTTTTCAGCAGTTTGCTGATTACCTTTGCTTTGTTCTTCCTGCAGAGATAGACAAGTTGATAGGATGAACTTTCAGATTTATATCTTGTGCTGTACACAGAGGAGGTAAGCAACATGTGTCGTCTTTTATTTTCTGTGTAAGGTTACTGATAGATTATACAAGAATTGATGTTCACTTGCAATGAAGGGATTTTGAGTTACATTACATAACTGTTGAAGTCAGAATATTTAATATGGCTTCACACTGCTCTATTTGAAAATGTGGTTATTCATGTTGCATTGTTTCTTCATTTTCTAACTAGTGACTTCTTTAGAGTGAAGAATTTGATGTCTGTACTCTGGCACTGCAAATCTGTAGTCTTATACAAATAGTATTTTTGAATCTACCAGTTCTGGTGTACTCAATTCCAGCTTTGTTTTATCTGCAGAGCTGCTCTCAGACGTATGAAGGAAGATCAGGTTAAGAAGTTCGAGTATTGCCTTCCTTGTGAGTGTTATTCCTCTACTACCGATACTAGTTAAAATTTGCTGAGTGAAAACAATTTATAGCACATGGCAGTGGATTATCTGTATGTTTTCCTCGTCATATATATGTGGTACGCAATAACAAAATCTAATATCTCTTTCCTTTTTCGCTTTGTAGATTTCTATCATCCATTTAGGGAAGATGAACTTGAACAAAGTACTGAGGTCCAGATTATGTTCCCCTCTGAACCGCCGGTAAGTTTTATAGCATGCTATGAATGTATTGGAAGTGGTCTACATAAAATAGTTTGAGAGGGGCACATTGTTTTGGGTATTTTCCTTATAATCAAGCTTAAATGTTCTGTTTGCGCAGGTTGTATGTGAATTTGACTGGGAGTTTGACGATCTTGAGGTGTTCATTTTGGCTTTTCTGTGATGATATATTGCATTTATTGTATGCTGAATCTTGAGATGGCTTTTTGTGCATCTATCTTAGGAATTTGTCGATAAACTGATTGAAGAGGAAGCATTAGCTGCTGAACAAAAGGATGAATTCAAAGTAAGTTTGAAACTGTAACACAAATTGTCAGTTCATAACGCTTGAGTATAATTCTCTAAGTACAACTGTTGTTTTGCTTTATTAACTTCTCAGGAATACGTTAAAGAGCAAGTACGAGCAGCAAAGAAAGCTAATCGAGAGGTAAAAAGTTGTAACCCAAGTGAGATGGTATATGTGAGCTACATTCAATTAAACTGTTTTATAAATACGGTATTCATACTTGCAGGCTAGAGATGCTCGAAGGAAAACAATAGAAGAAATGAGCGAAGAAACTAAGCAAGGCTTTCAAAGCATGAAGTTCTACAAATTCTACCCTAAGCCTTCACCAGACGTCCCTACATTCATGCAGGTAAAAG